GTGTCCCAGCGTCTCTCAGTGAGGGGTTTTATTTCATCATGGCCTTTGAAGTTACAGTTATGTACTGCACATGTCCTTTCTTCAAGCTGTTCTTTCTTTTGAGATTTTGACCTCTCTTTCTTTGATGTCAAGGGAACTGATTTCAGTTCTATCTTTTGAACATTCCATTCATTCTCTGAAGCATACTCGTATAAAGAAAATTGTACATTGATAGAAAAACTAGACTTCAAATTGTTCACCCCTGTCTTCTTTTAAATTAGCTTTAACTAACAAAATGTTTTTCAAGACACCTTTATCATGCCCATATGATTGATCTAGACTATATATCTGAGACAAAAGTACTCATGCCGCCTTTTTGACGTTTTTAAAATGACGCGCGGCAGTTTTGTATTTTTTCAATATATAGCAATAGCAAGGGTCATAACTCCTTAACTCATAGTTATTTTGCACACAATCCTTCTCATTTTGTGCCTCAAACTTTGAGTCAAAGTGTGTACCTATCAGAAAACTATTGTATCAAGTTATAGAAGATTTGAAGCAATGGAATTAATCATTTCTATAGATTTTGAGAAATCAGCCTTTGAATTTTCTTTTTTCCTCTTTGCACTTTGTAATTAATTAGGACATTTTTTTTTACAACACTTACATCATCTTATAATATTTGAGGTTTACATCATATGAAAGTACACATTTTTGGCTTCACAGAGAACCCCAAAATAAAAATCAAGTATTTTCTTAATTTCTGGACAATCAAGGGCCGTAACTCTGTAAGTTGCCAACATTTTGGTGCCAAGTTTTTTTGGGTAAGTCCCTAGGTCCTACCCTTTCAGAAAATCATGGTGGCGAAAAATCCCCGGGGGGGGGGGGGGGGGGGAGGTTCACTCCCAGTAGCCCATAGCCTATGATGGCTCTAAATCGAACTCAGCCGTGGGCACCGCCGTCCTGTCCACAAACGACGCTCCCCACAGGAGGCTCCATCCGGAAATCTCCCTCTCTTCTGCGAAGGCCACTGCCATCAACATGGAATTGGACTCCGTAGAGAATTCTCCCAAAGCGTCTTTTCTTATCCTGTCCGATTCCCTGTCTTGCATCGCCTCATTCGCAAATCAAACAACTATACACCCCCAAAAAGTTAAGTTACAACTGAAAATCCACACTTCAATGGAAACATAATATCGTGTTCGCATGGCTTCCTAACCATGTGGGCATCTAGAGACTTGAGAAGCAAAGTTAAAAAGTGCACCTCCAGTATGTCGGAGAAACATTGGGGTAAGCAATTAAAGAATAAACTCCACAATATCGTGCCCAAATTGGGCTCACAAAAACCTTTTGACTCAACTGTGTATCGGGCACACCTCCGTGACACATAAATGCCTCTCGCAGGGAGATGAGAAACCGTTCTGTGTCGTATACAGATTTCATCATTAGGCCTAGACACACATTTATAAGAATGTCCGGACTTTGGAAAGACCCGAAGGAAATAAGTATTTCAATTTTAAACGTACAAAATTATTGATCCCAACAGAATTTTTGATTATGTAAATACATGTACTGTTATTTTAATATTATGTACATTGTCATTTTAAGATAGAATTTTTTAAATCGTAAACTCTTAACCTTTTAATCTGATAATTGACGAAAACCTAACCGTGCTGTGAACTGTTGTGGATTCAAACAGCTTCTGTTTTTCGCGCTCATATGACCTTATGCAGTTGAGGGCGCCGTAAAACTGTTAGTCTTACTACTAAGACCCTGCCACATACAGATTTCACACTCCACATAATTTGTAGGTAGGGGTTGTCTATGAGAGAAGGTAGCCTACTTCATTTTTATATTTGATTTGTTCGTTTTGTTTTGTGCGTTGCAAGACAAAATATATACGTGGTCTAATGTTTCTTTTGTTAATCCGTGGAATTTCAGTCTTTCGGGTGGTATATAAATGCCCCCCCCCCCCCTCACTCACACAAACCTTTTTTGCGCGCTCCTTCCCCTCGGCTCTCAACCTGTTCCCTCGTCCTTCCTGACTAGGTTTACTTGCAGAGCAGATAACGGATAATCAGTCATCTCGAAACAATTGTGTTAACCGACTGGAAAAGAGGGCGTTCTGGGTAGTTTCTATCAAGTCCAATACAAAGAAGCTCAAAGTAAGCCTTAAGTAGCGTCGACACCGATACGACTTCGAACCTGCAAGATTTGATGAGTTGGAAAATCCGAAGGAAAGCTAGAATAAAGTTTGATTCCTTCATGTTTTGGTTCGTTGAAAGAATTGGTACCCCCCCCCCCCCCCCCCACACACACACAAAAGAAGAAAAAACAACCAACCAACCAACCAACCAAAAACAAAAAACCAACAACAAAAGAACAACAAACAAACAATCAAAACACAAAAACAAAAAACAAAACAAACAAACACAAAACCAACCAACCAAACAAACAAACATAAAAAAGTCAACAATGACAACAAAAACTATACGCATCATTTGAAAGCATGAGACATGTATGGAGTTGAATATGTGTTACCTTCCTTTTTTTAAAAAGAATAATTATTGATTCAAGTTCAGAAGAAGTCTCATAAATAAGTTTTCTTTCATCATCATCATCATCATCATCATCATCATCATCATCATCATCATCATCATCATCATCATCATCATGCCATCGCTGTTGTCGTTGTTGTTGTTGTTGCTGTTGTTGTTGTTGTCGTTGTTATTGTTGTTGTTGTTGCTTTCTCCTGGATATCAAATATTTTCCGAATAAATGTCTAGCATCAATATACAATGTATTGGAACCCCTTCCCCCCCACTCTGTTGATGTTGTTGTTGTTGTTGTTATTGTTATTGTTGTTGTTTCTTTCTTGTTGATGTTGTATGAGCACATTTGCCGAATAAGTGTCTAACATCCATTTATATTGGACACACACCCCCTCCCCCCAAGTTTACCCCTCAGCAATAACCATGCTCATAATGCTAGGATTACAAGGTTTCATTGTTGTTTCAATGTCAGCTACACCAGGGGCGAGGTTTCCCGCGTTTGGGGGAGGGCTAGTAGAATAATAACATATCCCGATTGCGATGATAAAACCTGCAATTTTGGCAAGGGTGGACTGGCTAGTAGAATTCCCTGACAAGTGACAATAGCGTCTGCTGACCAACGTCAAAGAGTAGGACTATTAGAGTAGGGACTTGCGCACAGCCTGCAGTGTTGCTCAAAGGGTTACGGCGAGAAAGCAAAGCAAAGCAAAGCAAAGCAAAGCAAAGCAAAGCAAAACAAAACGAAGCAAAACAAAACAAAACAAGAGAAAACAAAGCAAAGCAAAGCAAAGCAAAGCAAAGCAAAGCAAAGCAAAACAAAACAAAAACTGATAATGGCCACATTCCTCCTGGACGAG